GCTCCAGGGATGGAGCACAGCGTAGCACGTGGAACCAGGGATTGAACCATGGCTCTGCACCTGCCAAAGTAGGCACTTAGTCCACTGAACTATCTAGCTGGCCCATTAGCTCATTTATTTCAAAATTTCCTTTTTAAAATTTATTTCAAAATTTCTACAACAGACAGAAACAGTTCATGCCATTCATTTGCTTTATTCTGTCAATTATTTGTACTCTGGCAACTCCCTAACATTTTTTTTCCTATTGTTTGTAAATAATATTTACACTTGCTACGGTGTCAAATGAAAACTTCAGCTGAAAGTTACTTGCTTCATAAATTATACAGAAGGTTTTTAATGAAATTCCCCCTAAGTAGTCTCAGGATTAACTGATATGCTCCATTATTCTCCTGGTTGGAGCTCAAGGCTCACTGCAAGCTTATGGTGAGTGAGCTACTTTGGAGCATGTGTGTGTAACTTTCCTCTCCCACCAGAGGAGCTGTATGCTTGCCAGAAGTCAGTTGTCTGTATATAACTTAGCTAAATGTTATGAGAAAATGCTAAATTAAAAAAATAAAATTATTATTCCTTAGACACTTAAATACGTTGAAAAGATGTAAAATAGGTGAGTCATTAAAAAAATCAGTGTTAGTTTAGTTTGGGTAATTAACAACTATAAAAGATTTGGGAAAAAGCTTGCAAACTCTAAGATGTTGAACTCCAACTGCTTTTCAAAATGTCTTGTAAATTTTTACAACACTTACTACTAATGGAAGTTGTTGTTGATGTACAATGGCTGGGCTCTATGTAGAACAAATTATGAAATTGCATTCATGAAAGCCTTCCCTCAAATGAAGAACCCTTGGCTGGAATACTGGCAAATCAGTGTACATTTCTCTAAGCTGAAGTGTGAGCCCATCTCATTTTTATAATTTTCTATACAACTAATCTTGTGATATAAAAGACACCTAACTATAGAAAAAGATGATATGTGGGAGAGAATTAAACCAGATGAATCACCTCAGGTTAATTTTCTAGTGTTTGTGTTAAGATCTAGGTAGAATAGGCTTCTATTTTTGCCCACCATAAACATGATAGCAGCATGTTTGGAAAGAAAATATTTCCAAAGTAAAGAAGCAGAGCTTGACATGTTGATATGTTTCTGTTCCTGGTCTTAATACCTCTTCATCTTCATGAGGCTGAAGCTCAATCTTGACTGTTTAACTTTGGAAAATAATGTAGTTGCCTGCCTTCCACATTGGGTTAATGTTAAAATACAGTTGGAATGATTTTAAGATATTTCAAAAATTAAAGGTAACACAGTCTTATTTCAACAATTCCAACTAGAGAACTAATGTTATAAAAATATTACCTCTCTCTCTCTCTCTCTCTCTCTCTCACACACACACACACACACACACACACACACAGAGGCTCTTAAATGTTGGCTACTCATTTTTTTTTTTTAAAAAGCAAATATAATTCCTTTGATTGCTAAATGTAGTTGCCTTGATTTTAATTGTATTAACACAGCTTGATAGAAGTTAAAATAGCCAGCACTGTTATCACAGAAACATCTCTATTTTTGGTACAGGAGGAGTCATTTACTGTGTTACTTACCAATGAACTGCTTCTTTCAAGAGTCACTTATCCCTGATAGCTGGCAGCTGCTCTATCCTAATACTGGATCTCTGAAAAAGCTTTTCTAGTCCAGTGGACATCTAAGAACACAACCAAAGTGGAGAAAGGCACATACCTCTTACTGTCTGCCCCTGGAGTAAGAAGGAAGGGCACATGATCATAGATTCTTCAGGTCAGAGGGGACCCTACTTGGGGTTACAGACCAACACACTTGGTACTTGAAACTTCTTTATACCATACCCTATTGTGATGTCAGCCTATACTTTTTCTCTAGTACACTGGCCTGTTCATTCCTCCCCCCACCACCCTGAGCTTCTCAATGTCTGCATTTCACTGATTTTGCATATTGATCTCTGTCTGCCAGCCATGTGCTTATTAGTAAGAATGGAATGGGAACTGTTCCTTCCAGCCTCTCAAATGATTTGAGGTCACCCTCACTGTGGGGGTGTCTACCATAACGATAAGATCAGGCTGGACTGTGGTAGAGATGTTTGGTGTGGGCTTTTAAATTGGGTAGACATAAATGAGGTTCAAGTAGTTGAAAATCTATGGTTACCCTGTTGTTATTACATCCTCTTTGATTTAATGAACAGGACATATGTCCCTCACTGATAAAGAAATGCTCTGATTAAAAATGTCTTTCTAGAACAGAGAGGTACCTATTGTGCTAGCTGACGGGAAACAGCTAGCCCATCAATTGGTTATCTGGAGAATCAAAACTTCCCCTGGATATGTAAGACAAGTATTTAGTTTGTGGCATTAGGTTGCTCTCATTTGGAAGATGTCAGTCTGTGGGATAAAAAGTTATTAAAATAGGAATAAACAGAAATGGTAAAATCCTTACTTCTTTTCTTCAGAACATTCACCAAAGTAATAAATAAAACCTTTACCTTCTAAAATGTGCATCCTGACAAGTTCAGAACGATCTGGCCGACTCCGAATCTTGTGTTTCAAAAAGTTTTCAGTCTTTAAAAAAAAAGGGTGAAGAAATTTTCACCATAGTTACTTATGATTATTTTATATTTTATATTTTTTCAAGGTACTCCATTTAAATAAACTGTATTTTCCTTTGGTCATGTCTCTAAGAGGAAGACTAAAAATTAAAACTTAAAGAAATTTATCCCGTACATGATTTAAATAGCACCTTTCAAAATCTTATAGGAACATGACAGTACATGTGGGGTATAAGTGAGCATTGTTTAGACTCTTATTTAAAACATGACAAAATAAAAAGAAAAGCTCATGGTTCTGAAGATGACTTTTGAATAAATACAAGATTTCATCATTTAAATATCTAAAATCATACTTCAACTAAAAAAAATCTGCTTGGATAACAAATGCTAACAAATTATTGCATTCTGGGGAATTTTGTTTTATAAGACATAGTCTCGGGCTGGAGAGATGGCTCAGTGGTCTAAAGCACCTACTTAGAACAAGCTTAGCAAAGCATCAGGGACCGCGGTTCGATCCCCCAGCACTACATGCCAGCCAGCCCCGCCCCCTGGTGGGCTGAGCTGG